GGAAACATGGCTAGGAAACAATGTTTCCTGGTTTGCCCACCTTCGGGAAACATGGCTAGGAAACAATGTTTCCTGGTTTGTCCACCTTCGGGAAACATGGCTAGGAAACAATGTTTCCTGGTTTGTCCACCTTTGGGAAACATGGCTAGGAAACAGTGTTTCCTGGTTTGCCCACCTTTGGGAAAAATGGCTAGGAAACAATAGGGCCATTTATACGGGACAAAATAAGACGCGACTTACATAAGACGCGACTTAAATAAGACGCGAGTTTGTCGTATAAAAGGTACAAAATTCTTATGTAAGACGCGTCTTGGATAAGACGCGTCTTACATAAGAACAGGACTTTTAGCTGTTCTTATTTAAGTCGCGTCTTATATAAGAAATTTTAGATAAAAATTCACTAAAAACTACTCATACCCGAAACTTGAAACAACGTAAAATTATTAGCCTTGCATATTAAAACAAAAACAACCGAAACAACATTATAGCTATATAGCAAGTATAAATAAGAATAAAGCCGTAGAGAACCACTTATGCGATAACTCCGCTTATATAAGACGCGTCTTATGTAAGTCGCGACTTATTTTGTTCCGTATAAATGGCCCTATTGTTTCCTGGTTTGACCACCTTTGGCAAACATGGCTAGGAAACAATGTTTCCTGGTTTGTTCACCTTTTGGAAAAATGGTGGGGAAACAATTCAATATTCTTCTAAAATTATTCTTCTAAAAACAATTCATGTTTCTCAGTTTGTCCTGAGTACTTAGTTAAGGACAGTTGACACCAGACGACTGTCAATGGGATGTGTCCAAGCGTTAGAGGGTTTAACTTACTTGATTATTAGAGCTCGCCAAATAATCTTCCATCTTGAGTTCTCGTTTCTTCTTTCGTCTAAATTTATTCGTTGTTATCTTTGCTCTCCCAACAAACAGCGTGTTTTTTCTATGTCTGCCTCTCAACTGAACGGCTTGATGATATTGAGTGGATTCTGCGGATCCCAACTTACGGTTCACAACCAACTCAT